TGAGGGTTGATTTCCTTTAGGATTGACTGGTTTGATCTCCTTGCTGTCCAAGGGACCTTCAGGAGTCTTCTCCAGCACTACAATTTGAAAGCATCAATTCTTTGATACTCATCTTTCTTAATTCCTTTCTTTGGGCTTCTCTGGTAGCGCAGATGGTAAAGAATATGCCTGCACTGCAGGAGACCCGAGTTTGATCCCTGGGTCAGGAAGATCCCCTGTAGACGGGCATGGCAACCCACTCCAGTATGCTTGTCTAGAGAATTCTATGAACAGAGGAGTCTGGTGGGCTACAGTCCATGGGGTCGCAAAGAGTCAGACACGACTAAATGACTAACACTATGCTTACTATGCTTTCTTAATTCCTTCAGTATTTTCATTACCCCATTTTTGAACTTGGTGTCTATTAGACTGAAGAGATCTATTTCGTTGTTTGTTCCTTCAGGGGAGTTCTCTTGGTCTTTTAACTGGGAGTGGTTCGTCTGCTTCTTTATTTTGCTTATGTTTCTCTTACTCTGTGAGTTTAAGGAAACAAATATCTACTTTAGTCTTGGAGGGCTGTTTATCTGCAGGAGTGTTCCTGCGTAGCATAGTGTGTTTAATATTTTTTTGGCATGAGGGCTGTTTTTGGTTCAGGTGCTTGCCGTCTCTTTCCTCATTGCATGTTGGCTGTTATCCCCTTGACAGGGAGAGTGCAAGTGAGCTCCCAGGAAGGCAGGTACAGCAGTTGGCACCCCGTAGTGGGGCCCTTAGTGGTAGCAGCAGACTGTGCCCTCTTCTGGGGTCTGAGATGGCAGTGGTGGCTCTCACACACCCCTGGAGCAATTGTAGGCAGTGCTTTGCCAATATGAGAGTATATGGTTTTGGAAAGAAGCTTTTATGGCGAGCCCACCCCTGTCCTAGCTCACCCTCCGCTAATGGCACCTTGCCTGTCTGGCGGGCCCAGGCTTCTTGTTAGTACCGTTATGTGGCGCACCACACCCTAGCCCCCTCAGGCTATCTTCATGCAGGCAACCCCAGTCCTCTTCCCAGCTCTGGCCTCTATAACCTGAGACTCAGCACCTAGCCCCCACCTGCCCCAACAGACCGGTATCTCAGGCTGGGGAATGCCATTGGCACTGTTTGTTCAGGTCCCTGTCTGCTTTGCCCTCTGCAAACCTGTTACTACACTCTGCTCTGAGGCTCTAAAGCTGCCCCTCTGTCCTGGCTGATCTCTCTCCAGTGAAGGAACTTTCCTGTGTGTGGAACCCTTTTCTCTTTCACAGTTCCCTCCCAGGTCCCTCCCAGGGGCACAGGTCCCAGTCCTGATTCCTTTCTCTCTTCCTTTTTTCCTTTGTCCTGTCCAGTTATATGGAGATTTTTCTTTTGCCCTTTTGGAAGTCTGAGGTCTTCTTCCAGTAGATATTCAGTGAGGATATTCAGTGAAAATATTCAGTAGATATTCTGTGAGACTTGTTTCACATGTATTTTTGATATATTTGTGGGAGAAGGTGAATTCTACATCCTACTCCTCTGCCGTCTTGACTGGATCCCCAACCATACCAATTATTGATGAGGATGTAGAGCAACTGGCATTCTCATACAGTGCTGCTAGGAATGTCCAATGGTGAAGCCACTTTGAAAAACAGTTTAGTAGTGTCTTAACCAGTTAAACGTGCACCTAACTTGTCAGTCAGCCTTTAAATTTCTAGATATTTACACAAGAGAAACACAAGACTACGTCCATACAGAGACTTGTGTATGAATGTTCATAGTGGCTTTGTGATTGTCAAAACCTAGAGATAACCCCAATGTCTATCAGCAGGTGAAAGTATAAACTTTGCTTTGTTTATACAGTGGAATACTACTCAGCAATGGAAAGGAATGGATTACTGATACATGCAACAACATGGATGAATCTCGAAATAATCATGCTGAGTGAAAGAAGCCAAACAAAAAAGAGTAACTACTGTATGACTGTTTATATAAAATTCTAGAAAAATCAAGCTAAATGTTAATGACAGCAGATCAGCACTTACTTGGAGACAGGTCTGAGGAGGGAGAGATGGACTATGAAGGGACATGAGGAAACTTTGGGGAGTGATAGATATGTTCAGTAGCTTAATTGTGGTGATGGTTTCACAAATGTATACATATAGTTGATTCATGTCGATGTATGGCAAAAACCACAGTATTGTAAAGTAATTAGCCTCCAATTAAAATAAATAAAAAAACTCATCAAATCGAACACTTAAACACGTGCATTTTATTAATGTTATAGCCCAAGGTACAAATGGAAAAAAAATGACAGAAAAACATAACATTAGCATCTTCTTCTTTTTTGTTCTCATATGGTGTGTCATTGCATGTATGTACTATGACTTTATCCACACAGCCTTGGTTGGGTGACTCATCTGTTTTAAGTGATGAGCCCCTCCCCTTCTTTTGTGGATAAAAATAGCTTTTATTTCCTGAACTTGATTAACACATCTGACATCACTGGTCAGAATGTAATTTCTGAAGCCCACTGCTTATGGCTGTCTATGACTTCTTGTCTCATTGAACCCAGAAGACTTTCATTTATCCTAAACATGAAAACAGATTAAGTGATCATAAATGATCTTTTTCATAAAATTATGGAGCCTCACAAATAATCTAATTCAACTCCCTTATTTTTGCAGAAAAGAAAGCAGGATAAGTGATTTACCTTAGATCATACAGATAGTTAGAGCCCAGGACTCCCATCTCTAAGTTTATTTTACTACTGCACAGATGTCAAATAATTGCTTTTTTGCCCTAGAGTGGTTTGTATCAGCTTTGGATCAGTACGTATTAATCTTTAGGAAAAAAAAAGCAGAAAACACTCTCCACGGACCACTATTAAACTATCTCTCTAGAGGAGTGGTTCTGCTTTGGGTTCTTTGTTCTTTGGAGCAAAGAGGGATAAAGAATGATTCTAAAGTGAAAATGAAATCAAGCTCCCTGCTGTGTTTTTGACTATAAAGCTAATATCTCTCTCAAGAAATGACACTGTTTCACCTCTGGCATGCCTTAGGATTTCAACCCCTGCTGTTTGTTTTCATAGAGCTATCTCAAATATCATGTTATGATAACTTGGAAAGTTTATTCTCTCCTGCCTGAGACATTATAGATTTTGGCTATTTCATTCTGTGTTCTTTTCTTATTACTTCCTTCATTTGTTTGTCTATGAATGCCTACTATTTTCCAGGCACTGTTTTAGGCAATAGGATATACTGGTGAAGACAACAAAGTTCCTTGTTTGAGAAGTGTAGATTTTGGAGTGGGGGACACAGACAGTAAGTGAATGATCAAGTAAATATATGTCAGATGTTGACAAGTGCTATGGAGAAAAAGGAAGTAGTCTAAAAGGGTGTACCAGGAAAGCATGTATGTATGCAGGCAGTTTTATCTAGGCCAGTGCAAGGAAAGGCTTAATGATAAGATGACATTTGAGAGGAGACAAGCAAAGAGGACACAAACCCTGAGAGCATCTGGGGGAAAGAGATACTTTCTAGGCAGAGAAAGCATCAGGTATAACAACCCTAAAGTGAGTTTGTGTTTGGCACGTATGAGTCATCTGGAACTGGCAAGCAAGGGGAGAGGGTAGGGGATAAAGACAGAGGCTGGGTGAGAAGCAGATCATGTAAGATTTTGACACTTGTAAGGACTTTGTCTTTATTCCGAGTTAGAAGGAGGGCTCTGAATGATGTGATATTATTTTTTTAATTGGGGTAAAATTCATATAAGGTTAATCATTTTAGCAGTTTTAAAGTATACAATTCAGTATCTTTTAGTACTTTCAGAATATTGTGCAGCCATCACCACTGTCAGATTTCAGAACATTTTCATCACTCCAAAAAGAAACCCTGTACCCATTAAGCAGTCACTCCCTATTTCCGTAACAACTAATCTGCTTTCTGTTTCTATGGATTTGCCTATTCTGGACATTTCCTATAAATGGAATCATACAGAATGTGGCCATTTGTGTCTGGCATTTCACTTTAGCATAATATTTTCAAGGTTCATCCATGTAGCATGTGTAGAACTTCATTCCTTTTTGTTGTCAATAATATTTCATTATATGGCTGTACCACATTTCCTTTATCTGTTCATCTGTTGATAGACATTTGGACTGTTTCCACCTGTTGGCTATTGTGAATAATGCTGCTGTGAACATTTATATACAATTTTTTGTGTGTACACATGCTCCCAGTTCTCTTGGGTAGATACCTATGAGTGGAATTGCTGGGTTGTGTGGTAATTCTGTATTGGATATATATAGTTATAGTTATATTATATAATATAGCTATATATATGTGAGTGTGTGTGTATTTATTCTACATTGTGAGGCTTGCAGGATCTTAGTTCCGCAACCAGGGATTGAACCTGGACCCCTGGCAGTGGAAGTGTGGAGTCCTAACTACAGGACCACCAGAGAATTCCCTGGGTTTATATTTTTAAAGCTCATTTTAGCTGTTGTGTTGAGGATAGATTGTATGGGGACAAGGGCAGAAGTAGGGAGTTCAGTTAGGAGACTATTACAAGCATTCCTTGAGGTAAGGGGTCCAGGAATTGTGTCCTTCCCTTTAGAGATGAGGACTGTTGTTTTGAATGCCCAGGGTCATCCTTCATTAAACTGAAAAGAAATTCTGGTCTTCTTAATAATATCTTCAAAGCATACTGCTTATTTATGTACATACTTTAAGCCCCACTGGAGGCATTTAGTCAAGAATTCAGTCAACAAATAATTGAGTGCCCAGTCTATGCTGGTTTCTTTGCTAGGCATTGGGAACATAGCAATGAACAAAATATGTGATCACTGATCTCCTGGAACTTAGTCTAATAGAAGAGAAAGACACTAAACAAGTCGTTTGTTTAAATTATTGGGCAAATTAAATAATTTGTATAAAAGACATAATAATTATGGATATGATTACTACAAAGACATCAGGTTGCTTTAGGAGAACATAGGAAGGCTACTAATCCATACTTGGGGTTGGGGCATGGTCAGAGATGTGGAGGAATTGACATGTAAGGAGAGACAGGAAGAAGGAGTAGATTTAGCCAGGAGTTTCAAGTAAACAAGAAAAATGGCCACTGTGACCATCCTAGGCAGAGAGAAGAGGAAAGAAAAGTAGCTTTGTCATATTCAGGGAACCAAGAGAGCTTCATCATTCCATAATGTAAAGTATAAGGAGAGGTGGAGGGTGAAAAATGAGTCTGTAGATATGAGCAGGGGGTCAACTCATAAGGATTTTCTTGCCATGCTAAGGAGTTTGAACTCAATCCCAAGGGCAATAGAGAACCTCTGAGCAGTTTTAAAAGTTTACTCAGCTCTTAGAAAGATCACTTGGGCTACCACTGTGAAGGAGTTGGAAGGAAGCCCAACACCCAGCAGGAGAGCCCACTTTCTTTATGTGTTGGCTCTTGGTTTTTATTGTAGCATGTCATTTGAAGTGCCAAAGCTGAAAAGTGGAAAGAGTGCACTGGAAGCCGAGAGTGAGAGCCTGGATAGCTATACGGCTGACTCGGATACCATGTCCAGGTGAGATGTCTCCAGTCCCAGTCATTCTGCTCAACTGAGCTCCTGTTTTGTTCTCTAGAGCCAGGGTGTGGGGTTCCCCTGCCTTTGGTGTTCCTGACTTCTGTACTTGGTAAGGTGAATGAAATATTTTCTCTGTTGCTGCAAGTCTCCCACTAGCACTTCTCTGAGCACAGCCTTCTGGAACACACTAACTTCCACAGGCTGCTGCATCTTGGAGAAGTGTTCTTGGACCCTTGGACCAGCATCAGTGGATGCTGCTATCCCTTAGGCATGGGGGTGTGAGTGTTTGTACAAAGCTACTTATCTGATTGTCTGCATTCCTTCAAAGTAAATCAGATGTGAAGTTTACCTTCTGCATTTGGTTACTGACCTTAAGCCAGTGGCTTTCCTTCCATAGAGCTGGGGTCCCTAGATGAACGGGGACGGGGGGAGAAGGTGATTTTATTATGGTTTCTGTATCTGCCCCCAGGAGAGACTCTCTGGATAAATCTGGCCTCTTTCCAGAATGGAAGAAGATGTCTGCCCCCAAACCTCAAGTAGAAAAGGTAAGCTTTAGTTATTGGTTGGTTGATCTCTGTCTTTCTGTCTTTGTCTCTCTCTCTCTTTCTTCTTCCTTTCTCAGGAAGAATTTAAATTAAGAATTGAAGCAAACAAATTTTAGTTCAGATCCCTGTGGTAGCATTTTCTAAGATGTTGGTTGAAACGTGAGAAAATAGGTTTTAGAAAGACACTTAGAGAATGAACTTATAGTTGCCAGGAGGAAAGATGAGGAGAAGAGATAGGGAGTTTGGGATGGACACTGCTGTATATAAAATGGATAACCAACAAAGGCCTACTGTATAACATGTGGAACTCTCCTCATTGTTATGTGGCAGCCTGGATGGGACAGGAATTTGGGGTAGAATGGATACATATATATGTATGGCTGAGCCCCTTTATTGTTCACCTGAAACTACCACAACATTGTTAATCAGCTATATCCCAATACAAAATAAAAGTTTAAAAAGTTAGTGTAAACCACAAACAAAAAAATAGATTTTGTGCAACTTCCTAGGATTAAGTTAAAGCCCTAAGATTAGATTAATCTTTCTTTTAAGTTTGTCATAATTTAGTGAATATCTGAGTCTTCTTCCCTAGTCCACTCTTTCACCTACCCAACAGTCTTTTTCCATTATTTTGCCCTTATCTGTCCCTAGGAAACTCAGCCTAGAGGTCAAAATGTGGTATCTGTGGACGAGGGTGAAATGATATTTAAGAAGAACACCAGAAAAATCCTCAGGCCTTCAGGTAGCTGGTTTTCCTTCATGGCCCTTTGAGATGGAAGTTGTGAGTACTTGGTGGGTTATTGGTATGGAGAAGAGTATGTTTCTTTTGCTTTGGTTTTTGATTTTTCACTCAGAATATACTAAGTCTGTGATTGATCTTCGCCCGGAAGAAGTGGGGCATGAAAGTGGTGCCTTGGAAGACAGGAGCAAATCTGTCCCAGGCCTCAGTGTGGCTATGGTAAGTACCCTTGTATTTCACCTGGTCACCATATGATATATATATAGTTGATTTTGGGCCTCCCAGGTGGCACTAGTGGTAAAGAACCTGCCTGCTAATGCAGGAGATGTAAGAGACATGGGTTCAATCCCTAGGTCGGGAAGATCCCCTGGAGGGGGGCATGGCAACCCACTGCAGTATTCTTGCCTGGAGAATCCCATGGAGGATTCTGGGAGGAGTCTGGTGGGCTACTGTCCATAGGGTCACAAAGAGTCAGACACGACTAAAGCAATTTAGCATGCACGCAAGCAAAGTTGACTTTACTACCTGATACTCTCAATTTACCTGTTTAGTTCCTTAGGAAAAGGTAACATGAATTTTGATTTCTCCCTCAATCCTAAAGTAAATCTGGTTGCTAAATTGCTTAAAGAAAGATTATATTTCATTATCTCTTTTGTTTTTTAAACATTGCTTGATATATGGTTGGAGGCTCAAGTAAATACTTCAGTCAGTCAGTTCAGTCATTCAGTCATGTACAACTCTGCATGCCAGGCTTCCCTGTCCATCACCAACTCCTGGAGCTTGCTCAGACTCATGTCCATCAAGTCAGTGATGCTGTCCAACCATCTCATTCTCTGTCATCCCCTTCTCCTCCTGCCTTCAATCTTTCCCAAGCATCAGGGTCTTCTCAAATGAGTCAGGTCTTCGCATCAGGTGGCCAAAGTATTGGAGTTTCAGCTTCAGCATCAGTCCTTCCAATGAATATCCAGGACTGATTTCCTTTAGGATGGACTGGTTTGATCTCCTTGCAGTCCAAGAGACTCTCAAGAGTCTTCTCTAACACTCCAGTTCAAAAGCATAAATTCTTTGGTGCTCAGCTTTCTTTATAGTCCAACTCTCACATCCATACGTGACTACTGGAAAAACGATAGCTTTGACTAGACGGACCTTTGTCAGCAAAGTTATGTCTCTGCTTTTTAATATGCTGTCTAGGTTGGTCATAGCTTTTCTTCCAAGGAGCAAGCATCTTTTAATTTCATGGCTGTAGTCACTATCTGCAGTGATTTTGGATCCCAAGAAAGTAAAGTCTGTCACTGTTTCCCCATCTATTTGCCATGAAGTGATGGGACCAGTTGCCACAATCTTAATTTTTTGAATGTTGAATTTTAAGCCAGCTATTTCACTCTATTTCACTGTCATCAAGAGGCTCTTTAGGTTTTCTTCACTTTCTACCGTAAGGGTGGTGTCATCTGCATATCTGAGGTTGTTGATACTTCTCCTAGGAATCTTGATTCCAGCTGGTGCTTCATCCAGCCTGGTATTTCACATGATGTACTCTGCATTTAAGTTAAATAAGCAGAGTTACAATATAAAGCCTTGATGTACTCCTTTCCCAATTTGGAACCAGTCTGTTGTTCCATGTCTTCTTCTAACTGTTGCTTCTTGACATGCATACAGGTTTCTCAGGAGGCAGGTCAGGTGGTCTGGTATTCCCATCTCTTTCAGAATGTTCCACAGTTTGTTGTGATCCACACAGTCAAAGGCTTTAGCATAGTAAATGAAGCAGACATAGATGTTTTTCTGAAATTCCATTACTTTTTAAGTGATCCAATGGATGTTGGCAATTTGATCTCTGGTTCCTCTGCCTTTTCTGAATCCACCTTGAACTTCTGGAAGTTCTTGGTTCACGTACTGTTGAAGCCTGGCTTGGAGAATTTTGAGCATTACTTTGCTAGTGTGTGACATGCGTGTATGTGTGCAGTAGTTTGAACATTCTTTGGCATTGCCTTTCTTAGGGATTGGAATGAAAGCTGACCTTTTCCAGTCCTGTGACCACTTCTGAGTTTTCCAAATTTGCTGGCATATTGAGAGCAGCACTTTCATGGCATCATCTTTTAGGATTTGAAATAGCTCACCTGGAATTATGTCACCTCCATAGCTTTGTTCATACTGATGCTTCCTAAAGCCCACTTGACTTCGCATTCCAGGATGTCTGGCTCTCGGTGGGTGATCACACCATCACGGTTATTTAGGTCATTAAGGTCTTTTTTGTATAGTTCTTCTGTGTATTCTTGCCACCTCTTCTTAATATCTTCTTCTTTTGCTAGGTCCCTACTATTACTGTCCTTCATTTTGCCCATCTTTGCATGAAATGTTCCTTTGATATATCTAATTTTGTTGAAGAGATCTCTAGTCTTGCTCATTCGATTGTTTTCCTCTATTTCTTTGCATTGATCATGGAGGAAGACTTTCTTATCTCTCCTTGTTATTCTTTCAAACTCTACATTCAGTTGGGTATCTTTCCTTAACTCCTTTGCCTTTCACTTGTCTTCTTTTCTCAGCTATTTGTAAGGCCTCCTGAGACAACCATTTTGCCTTTTTGCATTTCCTTTTCTTGGGGATGGTTTTGATCACAGCCCCTTGTACAGTGTCATGAACCTCGGTTCATAGTTCTTCAGGCAGTGTGTCTATCAGGTCTAATTCCTTGAATCTATTTGTCACTTCCACTGTATAATCATAAGGGATTTGTATTAGGTCAAACCTGAAAGGTCTAATGGTTTTCCCTACTTTCTTAAATTTAAGTTTGAATTTCAATGAGGAGTTCATGATCTGAGCCACAGTCAGTTCCCAGTCTTGATTTTGCTGATTCTATAAAGCTTCTCCATCTTTGGCTGCAAAGAATATAATGAATCTGATTTTAGTATTGACCATCCAGTGATGTCCATGTGTAGTGTCATTTCTTCTGTTGTTGGAAGAAGGTGTTTGCTATGACCACTGCATTCTCTTGGAAAAATTCTGTTAGCCTTGCCCTGCTTCATTTTGTACTCCAAGGCCAAATTTGCCTGTTACTCTAGGTATCTCTTGACTTCCTACTTTTGCATTCCAGTCCACTATGAAGAAAATGACATCTTTTTTTGGTTTTAGTACTAGAAGGTCTTGTAGGACTTCATAGAACCATTCAAATTCAGCTTCTTTGGCATTAGTGGTTTGGGCATAGACTTGGATTACTGTGATATTGAATGGTTTGCCTTTGTAACAGAGATAATTTTGTTGTTTTGAGACTGCTCCCAAGTACTTCATTTCACACTCTTGTTGACTGTGAGGGCTACTCCATTTCTTCTAAGGGATCCTTGCCCACAGTAGTAGATATAATGGTCAACTGAATTAAATTCACCCATTCTAATTCATTTAGTTCCATGATTCCTAAAATGTCAATGTTCACTCCCATCTCCTGTTAGACTACTTCCAATTTACCTTGATGCATGGACCTAACATTCCAGGTTTCTATGCAATATTGTTCTTTACAACATCGAACTTTACTTTCATCACCAGTCACATCCACAACTGGGCATTGTTTTCTCTTTGGCTCACCTTCTTCATTCTTTCTGGAGCTATTTCTCTCCTCTTCTCCAGTAGTATATTGGGCATCTACCAACCTGGGGAGTTAATCTTTCAGTGTCATATCTTTTTGCCTTTTCATACTCTTCATGGGGTTCTCAAGGCAAGAATACTGAAGTGGTTTGCCATTCCCTTCTCCAGTGGATCACATTTTGTCAGAACTCTCCACCATGACCTGTTCGTCTTGGGTGGCCCTACACTGCATGGCTCTAGTTTCATTGAGCTACATAAGTCTGCGATCTGTGTGATCAGTTTGGTTAATTTTCTGTGATTGTGGTTTTCATTCTGTCTGCCCTCTGACGGATAAGGATAAGAGGCTTATGGTAACTTCCAAATTGGTGGGACTAGCTGTGGGGGAATCTGGGTCTTTCTCTGATTGGGGGGGGGGGTGTTCAGTAAATCTTTAATCCAGTTTTCTGCTGATGAGTGGGGCTGTATTCCCTTCCTATAGTTTGACCTCAGGCCAAACTATGGTAGGGGCAATGGCGGTAACGGCAACCTCCTTCAAAAGGACTTAATGCCAGCATGTTCTGTGGCTCCCAGGTCTGTTGTATTCAGTGCCCCTGACCCTGCAGCAGGCCACTGTTGACCCACGCCTCCACTGGAGACTCCTGGACACTCTTTGATATAATTGTTCTCCAGTTTGTGGGTCATCTTCTCGGTGGCTCTGTGGTGGGGCTAATGGCAATCTCCTCCAAGGGATTTATGCCACACTTAATAAAATGTAAAGAGATGGCTGGGTTGGGGCAGTCAAATTAAAAAGAGATATTGTTACTATTTTGTGATTTGAGAAGGATGGTTGGGATGTAGTTTGGGAGCCTGAAATAGGGAAACACAAAGATAGAGATAAGCATGTATGTGTGCACATGACACCTCAGAGCTTAGCAACAATTATGGCCCTACTAAAGGAAAGATATTTGTTTTTGAACTTTTTCTTATTTCTGTTAACTCTGATCTATATTTATCATTCCAGGAAGAGGAAGAAGAAGAAGAAGATATTGACCACCTGGTGAAGTTGCATCATCAGAAGCTAGCCAGAAGCAGCATGAGAAGTGGTTCCTCCATGGTAAGTTCTGTTAGTTCCGTGGCAGTGGACATGTTGGAGTACCAGGAAAGATGGAAGTACTTCCCTAGAGCAGAGTCAGGATGTGGGGAAGTTCTGGTTATTCTTTCTAGGTAAGTGAGATGCATTTGTTTGTTCCTTTTCTCAAGTTAGACCATAGTTGCTTAGTGCACAGTTAGGTGACTTTCTGTCTCTGCCCTGGAAATTCTCATTTCATGTAGTTAGGGCTAGAGATGTTCATCACAGCTTTGTGAACAGTAACCCATAACTTCTACCCTAAAAAGGTACCCAAGCCACAAAGTGAGAAAGATCAGGTGTCCTCATCAGAGCACACCCCAAGTCTCACATTCAAGGGCAGTGAATGCCATGAGAAGGGTCTTGGCAGGGTTAACTGGCATCAGGATATGATTAAGGGAAAACTATACCAATCAGAATGATAAAGTTAAAGGGACATTTAAGAATTAGGGCCTAGTTCTGCCATTAAGTATGAAGATTGATGTTTAGGGGAAACAGAGTCAGAAAGCAGGGTGATTAGATGATCACACTCACACAGGAAGAGAACGGTAGGCTTGCAGAGTTGATTATTAGCTGAGAGGAATGTGGCTTTTCACCTCTGGTGGGGTTTTCCCCCCAAATCCGACACAATCACTTTTCTCTATAGGCCTTGAGAGGGATAAGGTGGATAAAAGAAACCCACAGATAATTAAAGCCCCTTGTTTTAATTGGTAACTGATCCCTTCAAATCAACATTGTAACATACATAATATACACCAAAATCAGACTCGCTACCTTTACTCCTTGCCCACCTTCTGGGGCAGTTGAAAATTAACAATAAAAATGTATAAAAAGAGAATAACAAGAGCAGCTCAGAGCCTAGGTGAGCTGATTGATAAACCTGAGCAGTTGTAAGCAGTTGTGAGTGTGCTCTTAGCTGTCTCTTACATTCTGGGTATAAGACCATTGGCAGTACTGGTTAGTTGCAGGGGCTTTTGTTTTGTTTAGTGACTATGACTTTCTCATGAGTGAAAATGTGAGCAATGTGGCAGGGAGAGTGTGCCTTCACCAGATGTTTATAGGTGCTTTATCTTGTTTATTTCTTCCAGTTTTATTGAGATATAACTGACATACAGCACTGTGTAAGGTTTACTGCATAATGATTTGACTTACATACATTGTGAAATGGTTACCACAATAAGTTTGGGAACATCCATCATCTTATATAGATACAAAATTAAAGAAATAGAGTTTTTTCCTTGTGATGAGAACTCTTAGTATTTGCTCACTTAACCACTTAAATATATATAACACACAGCAGTGTTAATTATATACGTGTGTGTGTGTTTATCATGTTGTGCATTATATCCCTAGTACTTATTTATCTTATAACTGGGAGTTTGTACCTTTTGACTACTTTCATATAATTCCCCCTCCCCTGACCCCTTGCCTCTTATAACAACAAATCTGCTATCTTTTTCTATGAGTTTTGTTTGTGTTTGAAGTATAATTGACCTATAACACTATGTTAGTTCCTGTTACACAACATAATGATTTCTGTAAATTTAAAAATGCTCACCATGATAAGTCTAGTTACCACCTGTTATGTGGGTGCTTTTATCTTCAGAGTACGATTGGCAGCATGATGAGCATCTATAGTGAAGCTGGTGATTTCGGGAACATCTTTGTGACTGGAAAGATTGCCTTTTCTCTGAAGTACGAACAGCAAACACAGGCTCTGGTCATTCATGTGAAAGAGTGCCAACAGTTGGCCTATGCTGATGAAGCCAAGAAGCGCTCAAACCCGTGAGTGTTTCTGGATCCTGCACAGTGCTTGGAGATGATCAGACCCCAACATCTCTTTGGGCACCCTTGAACCAAAGCTCTTACTTCCTGGGCAGACAGGGAGGTGTGATTGAGAGTGGTTAGGGGAGATGTGGGAAAGGGGCCAGGATTGGGAAAATCCAAGAACGGTATGTATAAGAGGGTATGATATTTTCATTTCATCATGGCATATGTGTATGGAGGGCAGGTAAGTGAGAAGCAGGCTTCCAAAAAGACAGCCAGTGACTCAGTATTCTCCTTGGCTTCTAGATATGTGAAGGCTTATCTTCTGCCAGACAAATCCCGCCAAGGAAAAAGAAAAACCAGCATCAAGCAGGACACTATTAATCCGTTATATGATGAGATCCTCAGAGTAAGTATCTAGAGTCTGAGAAGATAGGAGAACTTGTTCTGTCTTGTGTGCTGAGCTGTAGCAATTCCTCTACTATATGGCGGTCAACATGGTTTTCAGCAGCCATGTTTGTGTTTGAGGATACACTGTGGGCATTTGTTCACATCCTGACCTCTCAGCAAACAAAGCTGATTTGATATTCTTGGATTCTGGTGAAGTTGGAGGGCCACGTGGTCACAAATCTCATTTTACGGGGTCATTTGTGATCAGGAGTCTCCCTGGAAGTTCTTTTGCATATTGCAGTGTTCTTCCACCCACTGAAGGAAGAATTTATATCCCAGGTCTTCCTGTGGAATAATATAGGTTTTTGTGAAATGGGATAAGTGAAGGCTTTGAGGGATGAAACTCAAAGTGCTTAGGGACAAGTGATTTGATCAGGACTATGGACTTTGAGTATGCTTGCTCAGATTTTGGAATAATCTTTTTCTGAGGAAGTACTGTGAACTAATCATCTTGGGTGTCTCCTTTCCTTTCACAGTATGAAATCCCAGAATCTCTCCTGGCCCAGAGGACTCTGCAGTTCTCGGTGTGGCATCACGGTCGTTTTGGCAGAAACACTTTTCTTGGAGAGGCAGAGGTCCAGATGGATTCCTGGAAGCTTGATAAGAAACTAGATCATTGTCTCCCTTTACATGGAAAGGTAGTCTCCTTGAACAACTCCCTACAGAGTTTGCATTTGCATCTGAGGTAGAATTGTCTGCAGTGACTTCTTCAGGAACAGTTTTGAATGTAGTCTGTGGAGTTCTCGCGCCCCCTGCTGGGGTTTCCTAGTTTAACAGTAGTTTCAGATGCTCTGGGATGGCAAGTGTCAGTAATCTCTTCTGTTAACAAGCCAGGTGAACGATGAAGCCGTGGTTCCCCTTTGAAGTCTTTCATATATATGTGTGTCAAGCTTTGCCTCCTAACCTTCCAGAGTCTGGGTGTATCCTAACATCCTGACTTGTGCCTTTTCTCCAAGCTAACCTTTTGGATGTATCCTAGTCTGTGCTGGTTTTCCAAACTACCCTTTTCACTACAGAAATGGGAAGTAAACCAATTCATGGAGCACCACTTCCCATGCTCTTTGTCATACAAGCCAGGGAAAGTATTACTATGGAGATGGAATCCCAGGGGAGAGTGTAGCAGAGTGTGTAATATTACCTGGGATCTGAGTATGGACCTGGATTTGAATCCAGCCACTGTGATTTGACAGCTAAGGAAATTACCTAACTTAAAAACTAAGTTAGGTAAGTCACCTAACTTCAGTGGGCCTTAGTTTCTTCATCTATAAAGTGGAAATGATAATAATATTCTCTTCTGCCGGATCGTATACAGAGTACCAATCAGTGCCTGGCACATAAAAGATAGTAGGTTACTGTCATTCTGCTTAAGACGAAATTGCTAAAACAGAGTTAGGAATTCTTGATTCTTGATTATCAGAACTTTTCAGTGGCAAGGTTCTTCTGTAAAACTTTTTAAAATTACCATTTTCAATGCTAAAAATAGTTCATGGTAGATAGAATAACTTGGGAAAGATAGACATAGAAGTCGTAATAGTGACTACTTCTAAAAAGAGAAACCGAGGTGGGAGGACTTAGTTTTTTCTATATGCCCTTTTATAACATTTGAAATTTTTACCATGTCTACACATATATTGCTTATAAAGAACATTAAGAATAAAAGGATTTATGTGTACATGGTTCAAAATTAAAACAGTATCAGTTCAGTTCAGTCACTCAGTTGTGTCCGACTCTTTACGACCTCATGAACCACAGCATGCCAGGCCTCCCTGTCCATCACCAACTCCCGGAGTCCACCCAAACCCAAGTCCATTGAGTCAGTGATGCCATTCAAACATCTCATCCTCTGTCGTCCCCTTCTCCTCCTGCCCTCAATCTTTCCCAGCATCAGGGTCTTTTCAAATGAGTCAG